TTTTATCAAATAGTTTTATTTTGTGATCTCTTTGAGCTAAAGCAAATAAGGTGAAACACAATTCAGGTTCGGTCATGAATAATAAAACCACACCTTCTTTCAACTGGTCTCCATGTTGAGTTTAAAACAATGATCTGGTGCTTAGCAGCTTCTAAAAGAATGTAAAATTAACCCAAAGTGCACAACATACACAATATTGTTCTCATTTATTAAACAAAGATGAATAATGTAGAAAATAAAATAATGTGTGGTAATGAATCTGCCAAGCCAGTTGTTTTGTGTGTGGCTCCAGTTGAAAACTTTCATCCCAATTAAAGAAGGAAACAAAACACAGTAAGATGAGTCATTTTAAGAGCAGTTAAATTGTTTGTCAAATCAAAAGTCACTTAAAATATTTATATTAAAATAATTCAGTGACTGTTTATAAATCTGAATCACCTTTACTTTTTAAAGGAGCAAAAACAACTTTCAACCGGTTCTCCTTGTTTTTTTGAGCCGTGTTTGACGGCCGCAGCCTCAGGCGTCCGTAGCCTGAGGCGTGTTCTTTAATGTTTTGACAAGATGAATGTAAACCATCATAATTTGGCAGCGTTTACTTTGAGCCTTTCCGTCTCTTGTTTCCTGGTAAAGACGATGCGGCCGTGTTCTGGTCTCTGTGTCGTGACAGGAGATGTGTTCCAAGCTTATCATGGCAGTTTGTTGTGATCAACTGATAATAACCATCGTTACTAAACTTGGCACGCTCCGGCAGACCAGTGGAGGCTCTCTGAGTCATTCAGTGTTAAGAGCCTGAAATTTCCATCGTGTAAATTCGATTCATTTCTGTGATCCCTGTTAGCATGCTTTCATCAAGCCACACATTTCTGTCTGAAAAATGTTTTTCTTATTGGTCTAAATGTCATGTTTTTTTGTTTGTTTGTTTTTTTATCAGTTGTAAGCAGAAATTTAATATGAATAAAGACTTAAAAACATTGGTTTGTGTGTGATTACTCCATGAAATGTGCTTCACTTAATGACAGAGTTACGAATACGTCACACGTCTGTGTTACTCAACAAACGATGACTGATGCTCTGAGAAGGACAAGGCAGTCAGCCACAAAACGTAGCAAATACGTTTGTGACGTTTTGTTCATGTTTTAGGAATAAAATATATGATATGAATGGAGCCTCGAGAAAGGAGAACGTTAGTTAGACTGAGCCTTAATCCCCAAATTTAAGTAAAGTCATGTTCAAAAAAAAGAAATGTCCAAACCACCTAAAAATTACTTTTGTGAATCCAAATGTTTGGCTTAATTAATTATTCATACTTGAAATCAATAACTTATTGTTAAATTATTAACAAAACTGAGATTGGTTAGTTGAATCGGAGCACCAAACTGAATATTTATTAAACTAGTCCAACTTTATAGTTGAATTTTGTAAATAACCAGTTTTTGTTTTGTTTTTTTACACAAAAGAACATATTGGATAATAAAACAGGAACCAATGTAGAATAAGGAATGAACTACGACAAAATGAAATGGGATCCTGGAAATTAAACCAAGACCATCTGTAACATGTTGCTCTAATTTCAAACCAGAGCAGCAACAACATATCATACAGATATGACAGAATATATAAAATGCAACAGTAAGGCAATCTTCAGTAACCTTATTTTAACACAGACATAATAGAACAGTCTTGTTGTTAATCACGCATCAGGTCAAAACAATGTGACAAAGTCAAATAAATTGATGTAAAAGGCTCTAGACTGTTTCAGTTCTCTAACAAGACTAAGTTCTTCTTTGGACACGTTTCTCACTAGTTTTCTTTCCGGAGTCGTAGAAATCTTTGTCTTCCTGCCTCTGCCAGACTCGTCCTCTATTCTGTGGCTCTCTTTCATTTTCTTGCTCACATTTCTCACTCAACTTTTTCTCACTTGGAACAGCAGTGACAACTTTGTGTATCATTCTCATGATTTGTGAGCATCAACAATTCTTTTTCTTAAGACTAAACAGATTTTTTTTTTTTTTGCATGATGCTCTCTCAAGTGACGGCTCAGAGCCATACTGAGGATTTTTGACTGCATTCTTACTGTGTTTCTTACTTCCTTTTTCATTGCTTCCTGTTTTTATCTTGTGTAACACACTCTGTCCTCTCCTTGTTTATAAAAAGACCAATGGATTGATTGATCTGGACACACAGTCCTGTGCATGATACTTTAATCCTTCATTATTAAAAAATAATAATAATAATAAAAAAATAATAATAATAAATCCGTGAAGGTCTAAAACTTTTGAGTCGGACCAAGTCAGCCTGTCGGAGTCAGTCTGATGCTCTGAGGCAGATCCTAGCTTGTTGCTTAAGCCTCACACGTTCTTTCTCTTTCTCTTGTCTTTTGTCTCTTGTGAGGTGTGTTCAAGGATTGGACTGACAAGTTCATGTGAATGGTTATGTTGTAGGCAGGATTATAGCAATTGGCTGTCGATTGGCATTCACATTCAGAACAGAATGTAAATGAAAGCACAGAAAACGATTCCATCATGTTACACATGGTTGTGTCAACGTTTGAGAGACTTTTGATCAGAAATAGTTTTTGATGCAATAAAAAAAGAAAGACAATAAAACATGTTAGACAATGTTTTCTATCTGTCTGCAGAAAGCCCAACTTAAATAATTATCTTAGTCTGGGTGCCACAGCAACTAGATGCAGTTAGTCAGCGCTGTGGACGACACCGTACAGTGGAGTTAGTCGCAATAGTTTTCTACAACCAGTGGAACTTCTGTTGCTGAAAAGTATTCCTGCAGACACTGATGGCCAGTCCAGCCTGTTTTCAGTTTGGTGTCACCATATGAAACAAATCTCCAACATCAATTAGAACCTTAACGCCATGAATTAACTAAATAAACCTGCATCACCCATTTTCTACAAAGAAGCTCCTTTATGCTACTTTTGGTCTCGTCACACAATAACAATTAAAAAAAGAAAAAATGTTTGTGTATAGCTTGGTCGACTATGGTACTCCAATATTTATTTTTTGGTATAAAGACTGAAGACTGATGGAAAGTGAATAGTTCAAAATAACTTCCTCCAGATGGCAACATGTTGGATGGCCACATCCACTGCTGGGTCTGAGCCTTACCAGAGGCACGAACCTCTGATCAATTCCCAAATCTGAACCTCAGGCTTAGTGGAGGACTCTGTCCATTTCTTTTAGATGCGTTGTCCATCCTAGTTTACAACTTCTGCTTCCCATTTATTACATCCAGCGTCAACTTCTGATGAAATGACGCTCTGAGTAGTCTGGTTGATTCACTGGAAAGTTAAGACGCCTAACTAGCATTTCCTGTTTTGCAACATTTTTAACATTGACTCCAAATTGGCCTGACAATTGAATGGAATTATATGTGGTGTGTTTGTTTTGCTCTTACTAACAGTCCATCCTCCTGTTCTAGGGACCGAATACAACCGTTTTGGGGATTGAATAGCAACTCCTTTCATCATTTCTTTCCATTGAGTTGACAGGAAATTTAAATGTATAAAATTATCAATGAAATGTTGTTTCCTTGTCTTTCCACAGCGGGAAATTGAACATCAAATTGCAGGAGACGTTATTGTCCAGACAAAAACATTTAAAGAGCGTTCAAAGAAAGCTCTTCACCTTATACCACTGCACCTTAACAGTGCAAAATGTGGCATGACTCAAATGTACAAACCAGTTTGCATTGTGGCCAGACCAACTTTCACAAGATGACAGGTACTAAGGCATGTTCAGGTCATAATTGATTAAATTGTAACGTTGAGCCCTCCCCTCTTTTGTTCCCTGCAAAATGAAATTCCCTCTTGTGTCGCGTTTCATTATTGAATGCCAACTCTGCAGAGCCACGTAGAATCAGTATCATCACTAACCAGGAAGAGTCTCTGTAAACATGCCAACTGATCAATCTTGAGCCACAGAGTCACGCAATGACGGCGCCTGTGAATTCCATTGTGTAATTATGATACCGGATCGATCCAAAAAGTGTGTAACAAGTGTGTAAAATTCAGCACCTAGGAATGTAGAGTGATTCTACAAACAACTGTGTAAGAATGGCTTGAGCTTCCAGTGGTACATTATTATAGCAAAGAGGAAGAAACTGAAAAAGACAGGCAACACAGCCTCAGGGTGTGAGGCTTCATGCAACTGACAAATTGACTTGATTGTTTTTTATGAATCCAAGCTGTACATCATCAAGTATAGTAAAAACCTCTGGATGGATTTAAACCTCCCTGCTGCTGAAACCCAGAGTTGTGGAGTCGTGTTCCATCAAGCCTTTCTGTCTGGAAATCAAATAAGACTCAGGTCTGCAATTAGTAGCACAATGACACTTCCTTGGCTGCCCTGTGTGAAATCTAAAGTTTGGTTCAGGTAGAATTCTACTGAGTGAGGCTGGATTTTTTTTGTTGGTTGTTATTTTTCCTTGAGCCTTTTATACAGTTGTATCCTCCCTACTTTGTAGAGACCAAACTAAAAGGGAAAGGTGTTTCTTGTTCCAACATGCCTGCAAATTAAAGCACTAAGGAACTCCATAATATGAAAATATGATAAAAGAACTTAACTGGCCAGCAAAGAATATGACAGACAAATTAGAACAGAGTCTGTGAGTCAAGCTCTGTCACCCACGTATAGCACCACTGGAAGATAATAAACTGATGCCTTTGAATCCTCCAGAGGTTTTCTTTAACATGCTTGGATCAAAATACATCATATTCAGTTCAAGAATCCACTGGAAGTGAAGATGTTTCATATATTTTCTGTGCTGTGCTACAGGGGTGTAAATATGAAAGTCTTCATTCGAGCATCAGGGTCTTCCAACATCACTATTTTACCCAAACTAAAAGGTAATGTTTCTGTATTTTCCACAGTCTTGATAGATAAACAAGTTTGATGATGTAGTTCGCTGCCCAGCCCCATTCCTTCTCCACCAGGTGGCTCCACCAGCCACCGCACAGCTGTCAGTCAAGTGGCAGTCTGGCTGCTGTGTGTCCTTTGGACTGTTTGCACCAACGTTCAACATCATCAGCCCAATGTGAAAACGGTTTTGCACAAAGCAGCTTACTGTGCAACTAAAGATGTATGTATGTGGCTGTAAAAATGTAGCTCTGAGCGGACATGTCCAACGGACGCCCAGTTTGATTCTGCATTGAGTCCGCCAGCAGAGTGAAGTACACCAGAGCACATGGGGTACATACTCATGTTGTATGTACTTAGTGACATACGCATGTTACGTTATGTAAACGTGGATTTACCATAACTACTGCAGAATAGATTTTTTCAGCTGGAATGAAAATACCTACGATCACAATAGTGAAATCACTAACCCTTCAAAATTATTTTCTTCCAGTTCTGAATGAAACAGTTCCCACAAACACATCAGGTAAATTTGGTCTAATTGTGTAAAAATACAATAACACAAACAGTCTTTAAAAATACTGTTTTTGGCCTTGATTTTCTTCTTGGCTAATCTTTTTAACCTTCTTTCTGACTTTAGGGGGAAGTGTGAACGCTCAACCTGCTGGTTATTATTACCAGGGGATTTGGCGAGCACTAGATGGCACCACAGTTCACCAGCTTACTAACAACTCTGCAATTAGCCAGTGTTTGAGTGGCAAGGTGCTCCACCTGTATGGAGACTCCACCATCAGGCAGTGGTTTGAATATTTAATCTCAGCAGCACCAGGTAGACGCCCAATAGAAATGTCTAGTAACAACTGAAATTGGTTCATGTTACAGTCTAATCTGCTCTTTTTCACGATTTCAGATCTAAAGAAGTTTGACCTGAAAAGTCGAACGCAGACAGGACCTTTTATGGCCTTGAATTACGCTAAGAACATCTTGGTGACGTTCCGCTGCCACGCTCCTCCCATCCGTTTCGGTAACTTGCCGGTCAGTCAGGCACGATACATTGCCAACGAACTGGATGGTTTGGTTGGAGGTGAAAACACGGCTATAGTTATTGGAGTTTGGTCGCACTTCAGCACTTTCCCTGTTGAGGTCTACATCCGGCGCCTGCTGAGCATACGGAGGGCAGTGGAGCGGCTGCTGACCAGAGCTCCAGGTACGCTGGTCATCATCAGGACCGCGAACCCCAAAGCGCTGTCCCTCTACGAGACTCTGACCAACAGTGACTGGTTTTCTATTCAACGTGACAAAATACTCAGGACAATATTTAAAGGGGTGAATGTCCGATTTGTGGATGCCTGGGAGATGACCTTGGCCCACTACCTGCCACACAACCTCCATCCACAGCGTCCCATAATAAGTAACATGCTAAATGTTGTTTTATCACACATATGTTCCCCAGCAGGGAACTTTACAGAAACAAAAAAGTTGTAGAATATAACATGGTAATTGGGTAACCAATGGTGATTGGTGACACTT